ATAGGTTAGAGATATGATAAATATTTATGTTTTCCAGATCTGGCTGTGGGTCGTTTAAGATTGGTCGTCATAGGTTAGAGATATGATAAATATTTATGTTTTCCAGATCTGGCTGTGGGTCGTTTAAGATTGGTCGTCATAGGTTAGAGATATGATAAATATTTATGTTTTCCAGATCTGGTTGTGGGTCGTTTAAGATTGGTCGTCATAGGTTAGAGATATGATAAATATTTATGTTTTCCAGATCTGGCTCTGGATTGTTTAAGATTGGTCGTCATAGGTTAGAGATATGATAAATATTTATGTTTTCCAGAGCTGGCTGTGGGTCGTTTAACGTTGGTCGTCATAGGTTAGAGATATGATAAATATTTATGTTTTCCAGATCTGGCTGTGGGCCTCTTCAGTGTATTGACGGACATCGTTTGGAGAACAACAGTAGAGTTCCATATTGGTAACATCGGATGTAAAATAGTCAAATATCTGCAGGTATGCAACTTTAATCATAAATAACACAGGCCTAACATCATTATATCCCACTACTAATACATTTTTTATTCAACTATAAATATTTTATCAAGGGATCGTCTATTAATGTCTTAAGTGTATATTGTTTGGCTTATACTCGCCACAAAGAACTTGTGTTTATAGAGATTTTTGTAAGAACATCTGACATTAGCGCTAATATCAGATTATAAAAACTAAAAAAAACTTATCTTTGTCAAACAGACCACGAGACCTAAATTAACAACATCAACGACATTAATAGTCGGCCTAATGGACAGAGATAGAAGACTCGCATTTTCACACATTAAAAAGAAACATGAAGCTCCATCTATGTTTTCTTTGACATACTGAGTTAAATCGGTTTTGGGAACTTAACCGTTCATCAACAACTGTATTTGAGTACAGTAGATTACACTGTACTTTAAGCATAATAAACCTATACTGTAAGTTAAGTACAGTAGATTACACTGTACTTTAAGCATAATAAACCTATACTGTAAGTTAAGTACAGTAGATTACACTGTACTTTAAGCATAATAAATAGGTTTACTATGCTTCAAGTACAGTGTAATCTACTGTACTTAACTTACAGTATAGTACTGTAAGTTAAGTACAGTAGACAAAACTGTATTTCAACTATGTTAGACTACACTGTATTTGAAGTATAGTAGACACAACTGTATTTCAACTATGTTAGACTACACTGTATTTGAAGTATAGTAGACACAACTGTATTTCAACTATGTTAGACTACACTGTATTTCAAGTATTGGTGGCCTAGAATTTACCGTTACTACATGCCTGTAAGATCCCACATGTGGTTAACTTTACCGTAGCGTTAGTACATTTTGTTTGTTGGGCCATCATAACCTGAAGGATTGAACCCTCAATCTTAGCATTTAGCACTTTGAGTTTACTGTTGAGTCATGGTGTGTGGGGGTGGACATAACAAAAACTATAACACAACTACTGGACGTTTTAGAATAGCCAACAAATTTAAGACATATCGTTGTTTTTTTACCTAGTCGGTAGCATGTTCGGTACGTGAACCCTACGATTCATGGTTCGCGCCCTGTAACAGCAAAACTGCGTTTCGCAATTTAGAGCTGTGGGTGCACTATAGGTATAATGGTTAAATAACAGTATTCTGTCAGTCAGAATTATCTAAGTAGTCGGCGGAGGGTGCTATTGACTAGATGCCTTCCTTGTAGTCTAGTAGTTCAAAGTTAGGATAGGTAGTCTTTGTGCAAGATTATGAAACAGTCAAACAAACAAATCAACTATCGCAAATAACTTTACATATTCATAGGTATAACATTCTCAAACACCAAATCACTAATACATTCTCAAACACCAAATCACTAATACATTCTCAAACACAAAATCACTAATACACATTCAAACACCAAATCACTAATACATTCTCAAACACCAAATCACTAATACATACTCGAACACAAAATCATTAATACATTCTCAAACACAAAATCACTAATACATTCTCAAACACCAAATCACTAATACATTCTCAAACACAAAATCACTAATACATTCTCAAACACAAAATCACTAATACATACTCAAACACAAAATCACTAATACATACTCAAACTCGAAGTCATTGCTCGATGTTTTTCGGGCCCAAACGAAAATAGAATCACTTTACAACTGTTAAAATATACAAGACATACAATAATATTTAGAAACCCTCCTACTGCTTCCACAGCCCCGGAACTATTTAAAGAAAACGGCAGGGGTCTCTGCCACAACTATCAGTTAAATAGAATATCTGGAAAGAGAGAGGAAGAAAAGCAGAGAAGAACACTGTGAAGAAAAAAGAAACTTTTTCCAGTTTTGTAATTTTGTGCGACTTTAAAGATGTAAGAAAGTGAAACTAGAAACAAAATAAATCAGTTTTCATGGACTTGCTGTTACTTTATCTTACCAATAATGGTGACCATTTTGTTCATCTCATTTGTCACCTCTTCCACTAACAATGGTGTCTTTATTCAATTTCTTCTTTGTCTTTTTTTTTTTCCCCACAAACAATAGTATCAATATTTTGATTTATGCATTTCAGTGGTCGTATATTTGACCTACATTGATGTGAATATTTCGATATATTATTTTATCAACGATGATGTCAATATTCCAGTTGGGCACAAAGGTGAGCTTGAGGAGTTATGATTACAGGTTCGATCTATGCGGTCGGCACAGCAGCAGGTAACCCCCCCCCCAAAAAAAAACAGCTGTGCACTAAAACATACAAACAAACATATTCTAGTTTGTGCATCAAAATATAAGATAACAGAAATATTTTAGTTAAAGAATTGTTAGTGCGACAATGAACGATAATTAAAAAACAAGATATTCAACAATATTGCTATTTCTAATTATTATACAATCTAAAGTCAACAATGTTATTATTTCTAATTATTATACAATCTAAAGGTCAACAATGTTATCATTTATAATTATTATACTATCTAAAAGTCAACAATATTGTTATTTCTAATTATTATACAATCTAAAATTCAACAATATTATTATTTATAATTATTATACAATCTAAAGTCAACAATGTTATTATTTATAATTATCATACAATCTAAATGTCAACAATATTGTTATTTCTAATAATTGTACAATCTAAAGGTCAACAATATTGTTATTTATAATTATTATACAATCTAAATGTCAACAATATTGTTATTTCTAATTATTATACAATCTAAAGGTCAACAATGTTATTATTTATAATTATTATACAATCTAATATCAACAATGTTATTATTTATAATTATTATACAATCTAAAGTCAACAATGTTATTATTTATAATTATCATACAATCTAAATGTCAACAATATTGTTATTTCTAATAATTGTACAATCTAAAGGTCAAGAACATTGTTATTTCTAATCATTATACAATCTAAAGGTCAAGAACATTGTTATTTCTAATTATTATACAATCTAAACTCAACAATGTTATTATTTATAATTATTATACTATCTAAAGGTCAACAACATTGTTATTTCTAATTATTGTACAGAGTGGTGTCCTTCTTGAAATCATATTTTCGGAAAGAGATTAAAAGTTATGTTAATATTCCAAAATACATAGTTCTTCAGTTTTAATTGTTTCAATAATATATGCATGGTATAAGTCGTGAATATCTCGATGCTAGATTTTGCAAGATTGTTGTTTTAAAAAACTCTACAAAGAAAGGTTCCACAACTATGAAACCTTCCAACATTAGTAGATTAGGAAAAAATGTCATTTTTCTTCCAAAGACATTTTAACTTTTCTAAAATTAAGACCGGTAAAAATTAACCAGCAATAGAAAGAATATCAAATTTTAGCAGTGAAGGTTTTTGTTTTACTGATACGAGGGCCGAGCATGACCCACTGGTTAACGTGCTGGGCTTCGGACTGGAAGTTCCAAGTGTCGAGCCAGTAAAAACGCTGTACACTCTCAGCTGTGAGTGCTTTAGAAAACTGGCCATCGGTCTCGCTATTTGAATGAGACGGTGGGCGCTGCTAACTGGTTACCTTCCATCTGTCCAGCAACTATAAATTTCGGGTGGCTATGGCTAAAACTGGGGTCTTCTGACTTAGACATGAAGCTCGTGTGTCGGGTAAAGTGTAGATCAGTATTGGAAAATTCCAAATACTGAACTAAATGTTTAATCTCATAGATGATGCTGCGTGTCTTTTATGTAAGTAAACGTAAACAAACAGAATTGTTTGATTTTACCGGATAATAACGGTGCATAAAATTGTTTTGTTTGTTTTAAGTTATGCACAAAGCTACACAATGGGCTCTCTGTGCTCTGCCCATCACGGGTATCGAAACCCGGTTTCTAGCATTGTAAGTCTGCAGACATACCGCTGTGCCACTAGGGGGCGGTGCATAAAATACAAATCATTTTAGTACTATACAAATAAAAACTTAAAACCAATATTTCTAAAAGTCAAGTTAATAAATAAAATTATAAATGACAGAAGAGAATTAAGAATTTACGATTTGTTCTAAAACAAAATCACATTGGGCTATTTACTGTTTCCACCGAGTTAAATTGTGCGTCGGATTTTAGGGTTGTAAGTTTGTAAACTTATTGCTGTCCCACCGGTGGATGGTTTTTATGGAGATGTTTGTCACTTTTTTTTTAGATTATACATCTTTTGAATCATTATTTCCTTAAAACTTTCTTTATATCTAGTTCGGCTACCATATGAGTTCAAGTTTTATATATTTGTTTAATTATTATGTAAGAAATGTAGTTTTATATTTGTTTAATTATTATGTAAGAAATGTAGTTTTATATTTGTTTAATTATTATGTAAGAAATGTAGTTTAGTTTTATATTTGTTTAACTATCATGTAAGAAATGTAGTTTAGTTTTATATTTGTTTAATTATTATGTAAGAAATGTAGTTTAGTTTTATATTTATTTAATCATTATTTAAGAAACATAGTTTAGTTTTATATTTGTTTAATTATTATTTAAGAAACATAGTTTAGTTTTATATTTGTTTAATTATTATGTAAGAAACATAGCTTTAGTTTTATATTTGTTTAATTATCAATAAGAAATGTAGTTTTATATTTGTTTAATTATTATCTAAGGAACATAGTTTTTTACTCGATTGTAACTCTACTTATCAACAGTGACTGTTTATGGCTCTAATTTGTTGTATTTTTGTTCTTCTTTAGTTTCTAGTTACTTATTCCTCCACTTACGTCCTGGTGGCGCTGAGTATTGATCGTTATGACGCCATCATTCATCCAATGAAATTTTCCGGAGGATGTAAGTGTTCCATAGGTTCTGTTCACGAAGAATAATCATTAGTTTCTTTCTCTTGAGTCCAATGTCAAAACTATTATAGAATATTATATTATTGTTTATTGGAGAGTTTTGTTCCTCTAGAAATGTCATTGTTTATATTGTTCCCATGTAGTTTCAACTCCCTTTAAAACACAAAACTAGACTTCCAGTTACTTGATTGCTCACCTGTCGAAGTCACAACTGAAAGATATTCACGAAGTTAATAATAAAGTGTTATTCAACGCAGAAACGCGAAGTTTAAACCTGTTTTGGTTAATCTACAATAGATAATATAATGAATAAGTAAAAATGAGTTATAACATTGATTAGAAAGTTTGTTTTTCTTTCCTGAAACCCTAGGGAAACGGGCTCGTGTGCTTGTTGTAAGCGCGTGGGGGTTGAGTGCTTTAGCCTCAACTCCTGCACTGTTCTTCTATAACGAAGCCAAGAAGGGCGACAAGCTACAGTGCTGGATCGAGTTCCAACATTGGGAATGGCAACTCTATTTCACTCTGGTTTCCGTTTCGGTTTTCTTTCTGCCCGCTCTGATAATTTCCCTTTGCTACACAGTCATCGTGTGTACGATCTGGAAGAAAAGTAGACCCATAAAGTCATCAAAAGGTAGGAAACGAGCAACACAGTCATTGTCTGTACGAACTGGACCAAACGTGGACCCATAAAGTCATCAAAAGGTAGGAAACGAGCAACACAGACATTGTCTGTACGATCTGGACCAAACGTGGACCCACAACGTCATCAAAAGGTAAGAAACAAACTATACAGTCATCATCTGTTCTAACTTGTGTTACTTATCATTTTAAAATTCCGTTTTTCATTGTTTGTTTGTTTGTAGTTAAGCGCAAAGCAACACAATGGGCTATCTGTGCTCTACCTACCACAGGTATCGAAACCCGGATTCTAACGTTATAAGTCAGCAGACATACCGATGTGCCACTGGGGGGCGGGCAGCTTTTCATAGTTTATATTATAGTTTGCCAAAAAAATAAAAATTGCTGTGATATAGATTTTAATTATGAAATTTTTACTATTAGTATTAACCACACTTTCATGTTTAGTTTGTTTGTTTTTAATTATGCACAAAGCTACACAAGGGCTATCTGTGCTCTGCCCACCACGGATATCGAAACCCGGTTTCTAGTGTTGTAAGTCCACAGACATACCGCTGTGCCACTCGGGGGCCTTTCATTTTTAATAATTATCGTTGATTTAACTTTTCCTTTAGCTAGCATAAAATGCCCGCACTCATCTTCAGGGCTCAAGTATTTGGAACATATGAACGGACACTGACCTCTGTGTTCTTGGATTCTCACGCATTACAATACGCCACACTTTGCTTACCTCGGGTATAGTATGACTTGTTGCAGGTCTCTTTTTTTGGAACTACTGGTACCCCAAGTTGATTCATATTCCTTTGTGTTCCAATGCCATTAAGTAAAAGGGATATCTCTGTCTTGGAAATTCTAAATCGCCGATCTGATTATATGAATATTTTCCATCGGGAAGAACTATTACAAATTCTTCCCAAATTCGATCAATTTTCACATTATTTACGAAAGCTAAACAATTTCAAAATCTAGCTTTTATACGTGATGTTCCTTTACGACTTTATATTGGCTGTGGTTGTCACTTGACTTGCTCATGTGAACATTCCAACTCGTTGTAATATAGCGAACTCAACCCTGCAGTAGAACGTAAGATAAACATTTAATTATTGCTTAATGTTAATCACTCATTGGGGATAACGATAAGGTTACGGACTTACAAAGCTAAAGTCCAAAATTTGATTCCCCTCGATCGTAACCGATTGTAAAGTTTTCCCGAGGAAAACAACACAAACACAAACTTTTCTGCCCTTTCCCGGTCTTAAATGTAATAACTTATAACGCTGAAAATCAGGTTTCGATCCTTGCGGTGGGCAAAGCACAGATGGCTCATTATGTAGCTTTGTGTTTAACATCAAATAAAGAAACATAAAAAATGAGCATCATCATTAAATTACATCATCTTTGTTGTAAACTCTAGGACAGAAATAAGTCAACATCATCATTAAGCTGTTCTCGAGATTACAACAAAGACGATGTAACTTAATGATGATGTTGATTTGTTTTTTACATCGTCTTTGTT